GGGAAGGACCCTTAGAACCTAGGAAGCTAGTGCTGGGAGGGCCCTTAAAACCTCGAATGGCAGAGCATGAGAGATGTGCCCTTGGAACACAAAACACAGCAGAGGGTTAGAGTGGAAAGCAAAGGACCTGGGTTTGAATTCCTCATCTGCTACTTACAACTTGTATGACCTTGGGTAAGTCACTTAACCCTTCATCTGCAAAATGCGGGTTTGCACTTGATGACCTCTGGGGTCTCTCCCAGCTCTGAATCTATGATTCTATGTCAGCACCAGGAGAAGCCTCAGAGAGCTTCAGCTCCAGCCTCTGTATTTTATGAACTGGCCCAAGATGAGTTATCTCGTACGTGATGGAGGCCAGCCTCCTAACTCCCATTCCCGAGATCTTTTCACCCAATCCTCCTTGCCCAGTTCCTAGGCCCTGGCCTGGGTTCACCTGAGGTCCCCACAGGCTGGGACAGACCTAGAAGCCAGGCTAAGGAGGGGAGGCCAGTGAGAAAGAGGCTGTCTGGCCATCGTGGCTCCAACCTCCTGAATAATTAAGAGTGGAAAAGGCTGCCTATGTTCTAGTGCCCCTCTCCCACTGGCCCCAGGCCCAGCAGACAGGGCTGGCTCGGAGCGGGGTTCTCGATGTAACTCACAGTAGGAAAGAGAATGGAAGAGTGGGGGAGGAAAGGCCTCTGGCCCTCCTTCAGAACCTTGGAGGCAGACCGGGGCCAGGCTAGTGCAGAGACCAGGAGAGCTGGACCAGTCACTCTCCGTAAGTGATGTGTGTGTCTAGCCCGGATGGGGATGGACTGGGGTCCTTGGCCCGGCCCTCACCTGGTCCTTCTCCCAAAGCTTCTGAAGTTGGTTGTTATCAATAGCAAACTTGACAAAGTGCAGATCATAATTCTCGATGCGGAAGTTGAGGTCCCCAAACCAGAAGACAATGCTGGGGGTGAGGAAAAGATGTGGGTGAGGGTCCTGGCTCACCCAAAGGGGGCCATGTAGAGGGCATGGCCAGGGATGGGGGGGATGGGGGGCAGTGGGGAGAGCTCCCTACATGTGGCTGGGGGTGGATAGAGGAGGGGCCAATCCTGAGTGTCTCCCCATGACACTCCCCCCACTACACCCTCCCCTCCAGAAAACAAGAAAACATAGTTACAAACCCAGATTCCTTTGAGAAGTCAGAGCAAGTCAAAATGGAAAGGGCACTGAATTTGGAGTCAGAAGATCTGGGTGAGAATTCTGCTCTTATGTGACCCTGAGTAGGCTCTCAGCCTCTGGGTCTCAGGCCCTTCATCTATAAGATCAGAGGCTTGGACCAGATGATCTGAGCGTCTCTTCCAGACCCAAGTCCTGGCATCCTCTGGTTCCCTCCTCCCTCTGCCCCCTCCTCTTGAGGGCCACCCTCCCTCTAGTGCCCTTCACTCAAAATGTCAACTTTTTTAAAAAACAGAGTTTAGGTCACTGTCCTAGGAAGGAGGGCTGGAATAATCATGGTTCCCGCTTCTCTAGGGCACTATAAGGTGTCTCTTTAAACCCTGGAGTAAGTAGGAAGTATGAATATTTCCATCATCCTCATTTTCCAAAAGGGGAAATGACTTGACCACAGTCACAAACAACGGCAGCTCAGCTGAGGCTCACGGTCAGGCCTGGGAGATCCAAGCTCCTCTTTTGTTTTGTTTGTTTTGTTTTTGTTTTGTTTTGTTTTTGTTTTGTTTTGTTTTTGTTTTGTTTTGTTTTGTTTTGTTTTTGTTTTGTTTTGTTTTTGTTTTGTTTTGTTTTGTTTTGTTTTGTTTTTGTTTTGTTTTGTTTTTGTTTTGTTTTGTTTTTGTTTTGTTTTGTTTTTTGTTTGTTCGTTTTTAGGCAATTGGGGTTAAGTGACTTGCCCAGGATCACACAGCTAGTAAGTGTCAAGCGTTTGGTGTGAGGCCGAATTTGAACTCAGGATCTCCTGACTTCAGGGCCGGTGCTCTATCCACCGTGCCACCTAGCTGCCCCTCGAGCCCCTCTTTTGACTGATGGGAACACTGACTCAGCCCTGCCCTCGGCGCCTCCCTAGCCCATTGTACTCATGGTCCAGGATGCCGTTGGCCATGGGCCCCTCAAACTGCTGCATGTTGAGAATGGTCATGAAGTTTTCTTTCCGCTGTTCAGCCTTGTCCATGTGGGCGGGCAGGTGACAGTTGAGGAAACAGACCATGTGGCCGAAGACAGAGAGGCGGACGCTCACCCCGCCCTTGTTGCCCTGAAATCACAATAACTATAATTTTCTTGTGTGTAGACAGTCCTGGGCCTTCCCATGTGGGCACTCCCTCCACAGATACAAAGGGCAACTCAGCCCTCCCTGTTCCTCCTTCAGTCCCCCTCAGGTACTCACCCAGTAGCCCCCCAGCCCGGTCCGGGTGCAGTCTGTCTGGACGTCCCGGAGGAAGGGCAGGTGATAATACTTGGCAAAGACCAGAAGAATCACTCCTTGCATCCTCACCGTGCTCACCTGAGGAGAAGCAGGCCGTGGGCTGGGGGGAGAAGAGAAGGGGGAGCGAGCAGGGAACTGGATTCCCGGGAGGCAGCATGAAAGCCATGCAGGCTACATGGAAAATGTCAGAAACAGACACAGACACCCGGAACTAGAGATGGAAGGGTGCTCAGAAGTCATCATTTACAGATGAGGAAACTGAGGCTCAGGGAGATGAAGGGATTTGCTAGTGAGGTCACAGGATCCTAGAGGTAGGAAGGGACTTTAGAAACCATCCGGTTTCACTTTACAGATGGGGAAACTGAGGCCCAGCGGTTTAGCCAGGATTAGAATCCGAGGACTCCGAAAGAGGTAAGCAGCCTCACAGCCCACTCCCAGCTATGGGAAGCTCCCAACCCTCCACAGGGTCCAGGAGGAGGGAACCTCTGCTGGAGCAGTGGTCACTACCATGACGAAGTTGAAGGGCCCCAATGCATCCATGAAGAGCTCACTCCACTGGTCAGTGAAGAGTGCATCCTTAAGTCGCTGGTTGATCATGGAATTCACCTCCTGCAGCCTGGGGGAGGGAAGAGGGAAGCATATTGGGGCTCAGGGTCCCCCAACTAGAGGAGTACCCAGCTGTGACCCTTGAAGGAGTGCTTCCCCCAGCTCCAGCTGCCCTCCCCCATCCCCAAGCAGGGACATTCCTCTTATCCTCCTTCCCTTCTTTTCTCTAGCTTCCCACCTCCATTTCCCTCCCCCTCAGTCTGAGGTGGGGTGATGCCAGGCAGAGTCCAGGGATGTCTGAAGCATCTATTGTATCCCCCAGTCAAATGTAAGCTCTTAGAGGACAGTGATTATGTCCTTAATGCCTAGTGCAGTGCCTGGAACATAGGAGATGCTCCTGGGCACTTAGTGATATTGGTGGGTGTCTGGAGAGATTCTGGGGCTCTAAATGGTCTGGAAGAGAGACCCTAAGGTCGTGGATCAGAAATCCAGATTTAGAAGGCATCTGATCCAACCTCCCAATTTTTACAGAAGGAGAAACTAAGGCCCAGAAACGAGCAGTAACTTGCCCAAGGTCACATAGGTAATATCAGGGTGCCTGCCCCATGTCCTCCTGACTCCAAATCCAAGACCTTTCCCATTGCACCCATCAGCTAGTCAACTAGCATTTATTAAGCACCTACTGTGTGTAAGGCACTATGCCGAGTGGCATACAAAGACAGTCCAGGCGCTCAGTTTCTTGAGAAATTGCTATGTCTGTTGAATGTCATCTAGGTATGTGTTGAGGTGGGGAGTAGGGAGTATTAAAAGGGAGGGTGCCCTCACCCCACGGCCCTCACCCAATGGCTATCATGTCTGAACCTCCGCTGTCATCCCCGTTCTGATGCAGGAGGGAGGTGACATCGTCAGGTGGCATGGCGGTACCCACGTTCCACGTCACTATGGTGATCCTGCCGGGCGAGCCAAACTGGGCATGGGAGGGACAGTGCCCCCTTGTTCCCCCTCCCATCCCCAAGGCCTTCCACAGGGCACCTTGGATGGATCAGGGTCCTCCTGCTAGCCCCTCCAGTATGCCCCAGGGGATCAGAAGTGAGGCACAGGGGCTTGTCTGGGGAGAAATGGGGGAGGGAAGACAGCACTGACATCCCATTCTGTGAAGCCTCCCTCTCCCCACCCCCCCATCCCTGGGCCCAGGATCTCCAGGAACTCCCCCTTCTTACCGGAAGCCAGGGTCTCCTTTGCAAGTAGATTGTGCTGACCAGGCAGATCCAGAGGGAGAAGAAGGGAGAGGGGCCTGAAGGCCTTGGGCTGGTGGGGCAGGGCTCCTGTGTCCACTCGGGCTGGTCCCATTTGTACTAGGCTTAGAGGGGGATGTTTCTGGAGGCTTAGAGGGCAGGGGTCCTAAGTGCCCAGCCACATTAGCTTGGTTAGTGCCTGAGGCACGGCTAGGCGAACGGTTAGGAGAGGGGGGTGGCTTTGGGAGGGCCATGGGACCTCCTGTGGAGGTGGGGAATGTCGGCTTCACTGATCCCGGAGATAGCAGGACTGGAGAGCGGGCCCCTGACTCTGACTGGCTGTGGCTTGTGTCCAGCGGTAGGGCCTGGGGTGGCCGGGACAAGAGAGAGTCTTCCGGACTGGGATTCCGGGGGGCTTCAGGCCGAGGCCGGAAGGAGAGAGAGAGGGAGGGATTGGGTGAAGTCTGGCCTAGGGTGTGGGAGCTCACAGCTGGTAAGGGAGTGCCGGCTCCGTCCATGCCCTGGGGCTGGGAGGCAGGGAGTCTCTTAGAAGAGGTGGTTGTTCTGGGCTCAGTGTGCATCCAATCCCTGGCTGATGGGGCAGGGGCTGGCTCTAGGGATGCCCATGATGGCTCTCCAGAGGGTGACAGAGGTCTCTGCTCCACTGGGGATGAAGCTGGACACAGTAAGGGACAAGACAGAGCAGCATTATGGCTTGTGGGTGCTGGGGCCAGCCTCTGCCCCTGAGGGGATGGGGTGGAGGGCCTTTGCTCTGTAAGTGGTGGTCCTGGTTGTAACCCGGAGGATCCAGGACCCTGCCTCTGCCCTGAGGAGGAGGAGGAGGACAAGGGCTGGTGCTGCTCCACTGGCGGTGTCGAGAAAGGCCTGTTCCCCGCTGCTGAGAAGGAGGAGGAGGAGGAGGAGGAGGAAGGGGATGGAGCTGCTGGCCACAGCCCCGCCGGTGATGGAGTCAGGCAGGATCCCAGGGACGTCAGAGATGCCCTCGGCCCTGTGGAGGCGGGGGGCTGGCACTGCTCTGCGGGTGATGGAGTCAGGCTGGGTCCCAAGGATGTCAGAGATGGCCTCGGTCCTGTGGAGGTGGTCCAGGGCCCTGCCGCCAGAGTTGAGCTGGGGGCCAGGGCTGGTCTGTGCTCCACGGTGGAAGACAAAGGTGACATCTGCTCCTCGGCTGGTGGGTTTGGACTCAGTCTCCTGGGTGACGGACTTGGTCTCTGTCCCACGGGCCGGGGGGCTGCCTGCTCCTGCGTGGTGATTAAAGAGCTGTCCCAAAGGCTAGAGAGATGTCCTAAGAGTGGGATGGAACCTAAGGCAGATTGACACTCTGCCTAGCCCCCTGCTTCCAGACTAGACTACGATGCCAGGGGAAAGCTAAAATCACTAAGAACGAGGGACTTCAGAGACAGAGGGGATGTAGGTTTGAATCCTGAACAGACTTCTCATTACCCGAGTGACCTTGGGCAAGTCACTGTCTGGGCCTCAGTTTCCTCCTCTGTAAAGTGGGTGGTGGTCTAGGTGGCCCCTGAACTTACCCATTCTAGCTCCCTATCCATGAGCCTAAGCTCCCCCTTCTCCAGATTCCAGGAATGATATTTCACAGCTTCTGGCAGAGATACCTGGCTCTCCCGAGGCGAGTTCACCCTAGCCTGCCTTGCTTTTGGGAAGTGCCCAAGTTCAGCTGCTTCACCGAGCCCATCCCTACCTGACCCCCATTCACCCGAGTCAGACGCGCCTTTGTCTATCAGCCCCAAGAGGGGACAAGAGCTTCTCTCTCCAAAGATCGGAGGTCATAGAACGGAGAGGAGGAAGGGCCTTAGAGAATACCAGCCCACCTTCCCTATTGCACAGACTGATCACTAAAGTCCCTTTCAGTTTTAAATATTATAACCCCCCCAGGAGGGACACCCTCAAACCAAACCAGTTCCAAAGCAGCCCTTAAACGTTTCTCCCTGGAGGGTAGCTGAACTTGGGTGCAAGCACCTGGTACCATCAGACCCCTACCCCAATCAGCCCCCAGCCCCCCCAACTGGCTCACTTCAGCCTCTGTGTCCACCCCCAAGCCCAATGAGAACTAGAGAAAGAGGGAGTAGATGGCTGGTACTGGTTCCCCGCCTCCTTCCTGCCCTCCTCCCCCAGGGAGGCTTCTGGTGGGTGGTAGTTCTAACTTACCAGGGAAGGGCAGGTGGGAGGCTCCGGATGGGGAGGAAAGAGCCTCCCACCCACCCTTTGTACCCTGCAGTCAGAGGAGAACTTCAGGGTGCCAGTCTCCCAAGCCAAGACGGCAGCCCCATCCCCCCACCTTAGGAAAGGGCCCAATGGGAGGGTGACTGACCAGGGTCCCACCCCAGGGAGTCTTTGGCCCCGTTCCTATCCCAGGGTGACCAGCTTGGGGTCAGTTTGCACTCCGGGCTCAGCCCTCCCTTCCCACTTCCCTACCATCCAGCAGACATGGAACCCCAGGACCTAAAACCTTATAGAACTTAGGGCTTTCAGGACCTTGGGGTTCTAGGAACCCTGGCGTCATTGGATTCTTGGAACCCTGAGACTTTGTTGACCTCAGAACACTTGGGCAGAGAGGTTCTCATGACCTGGGGCTAAGGAAGAAAATTGAAACAGCCACAGAGAAGCCAAGGTAGAGAATCAAAGGGACCGAGGAGGTCCTGGCCATCCCCTGCACCCATGTTTCCTGAAGCGCCACCATCCTGTGCCTTGAGTCCTCACCCTTCCCATCCTCCTGATTCCCCTCCCTTGCTGCCCCTTGCCTGGACTCCTGTTCCCTTTCTCCTCAGAGCATGAGGAAGACCCCAGGCCCGGGAAGGAGAACATCTGAAGATTAGCCCCAAATTCCTGCTGGACACACCATGAATTCACAGGGCAGGTCACTTCCTCTCTTTGGGTCTGTTTCCTCTTCTGCTAACTACGGGGGTTGGATGAGACGACCTGTACAATCCCTTCTAAGGCTGCGATCCTTTCCAGAAGTAGAAAGGACCCTGAGTCTGAGGACCCGGGTTCAGATCCAGACTTTGCCTCTTCCTATTCGTGGGCCTCAGGGTAAACTCTTCAACTTTCCTGGACCTCAGTTTCCTTCCTCAGCTAGAAAATGAAGAGGTTGGACCAGATAGCCCCTACAGGCCAGCCAGGAAGGCTAACGGAGAGCCAAGGTCCCTCCCGGCTCTGACATTCTAAGGATCCTGCCATTCTGATCTCTTCCTCGAGGCCATCCTCCTCTGCTTTCTTCCCGTGTCCCCTGCTGACCCCACGCCTCTCTCCCCACCCTGCCCCTGCCCTCCATTTCCCCTACTTTGCTCCATTCTTCCCTCCCTGTCCCTTGGACAGCAGCCAGCAGAGAGCGGAGAGCCTGCTGGCCTCCTAGGCCCCAGGACTTCAATCTGACAGCCCTCCCCCCAGTACTTTCTTGGCCAGTGTGTCCTCCCCCCAGCCTAGCTTTCCTGTCCTGAGGGCCCCAAACTGCCAGGATCTAGGAAGGTGAGGAGCCCTGGGTTCCGGATTTCTGGTGCTGTCTCTGCAGTTGCTGCCAGCGATGCCCCCGTTTGCCGGAAGCCAGGGTGAAGCTGTCCTTGGATGTAATGGGGCGTGTGTGTATGTGGACTTGACTCCCTGAGGTGTCTCTGTCCCTTCTCCTCCTGCCCGTTCCCTCTCAGACATATGACTTGACAGCTGACCTCTCAGCCTCTCAGCCTGGTGAGCCATCTTCTCCCCACCCACCCTACTCCCCTCTGGTGACCCCCCCCAAAGACTGCCCCTCATGCCTTCTGGCGTCAAGCCTCCAAGGGAGCTTGCTCCCCACCCACCCACTCTGTTCCCCTTTTCAGGGAAGGGTAGTGGGACTCTGGGGTCCCCAGGTTAGGGAAGGGCCACTGACCTCGGAGGTCCCAATCCCACTCTGCCCCTCATGTTCTTCTGGGGTCAAGTACCCAAGTGCTTGAGAGAGGCTCCCCCACTCTGAGAAGCCTCTCTCCCCCAACCAGGCATCCCTTGTGGGGGGAGGGGTTGCAGGACTCAGAAGACATCCCCCACCCCAAGGTGTAGATACAGGGAGATGTCCCAATTGAGGGGGATGGGGGGGATGCGCCCCACCTCTCCAGCTAGGGAACACTGCTTAAGAGAAGCTACCCCCGCCTTCCCCCCTCCAAGAAAACCCTGGGGGGTGGCAGGACTTAGGTGGAGTGTGGGGCCTCTTTACTCCAACCAGGCACCACCCACCTTGGCCAAACCCCTCTAAGAGGGAGGGGGAGATGGCTAGGCTCCAAGTTCCCCAGGTGTGTGTGTGTGTGTTTGGGGAGGGTCCCAACTCAGGGAAGCCCCCTCTTTCAGTCCGGCGCAGCCAGCCTCCACACTCTCCAGCAGCCCTGCCGCCCTTGGGCACCGGGATCGATTTTCCGGCCCTGGGGACAGGTGCGGGCAGGTGGTGCCCGCCGGGGCGCGGGGTGTGCGGCCCTCGGGGGCGGGGAGGGGAGGGCTGGGGGCTTACCTTGGCCAGGCCGCCGGGCTGCGGGGCGGCCCGGGGAGGGGCTGGATAACCGGGCCTCCGGGGGCCCCCGCCGCTTCCCCGCTGCTGGCGCTGCTGCTCCATGGGTGCTCGCGATCGGCTCCCGGCCCCCGGCTCCCGGCTCCCGGCCCCCGGGCCCCGGCTCCCGGCTCCCGGCCCCCGGCCCCCGGCCCCCGGCTCGGCTCGGGCTCCGCTGCTCCTGCGGCTCAGCTTGGCCAGCCCCGGCTCCCCGGTTCCCCGGGAGGCTTCCAGTGATGTCACTCACCGCCCTAACCTGCTGAGGATTTAAAGGCGCAGGGCTCCTGTGCCCTATCGGTGCGCCCGTCTGGGCCACGGACCGGTGGGGCGGGGCAGGGGCTCAGCAGGTGGAAGAGTGGGGTGGGGGTGGGGACTAGGGGCGCCCTGCCCGGATGGGGTGGAGGAGACCTTGGGCCACTCAAGAGGATGCAGGCACCCCTTTGGGACAGGCACGCTGGATCATCTGGTGCGCAGGGGGCTGGCTAGGATCTTAGGAGGAAACAGGTTAGCCTTCCCCTAATGTAATCCAAGCCTCAGGCCTGTCCTGGCCCCAAGGTAGGAAGGAGCCTGGGGCCTGCTGAACCTGGGTTCAACACCTCGGACCCTCACCCTTCTCCAGGGGGATATTTGATGGGTGGGGGCATCTGGACAGGGATGAAAGGGGGATCTCCAGGGTTCCAGGTCAGAGGAGCTGAGTTTTAAGCCCCAGCCCTACTAAGGACTCAACTGGGGAACTCCTTTGACCTCTTTGGAATCTGTGAAATGAAGCCTTTGAATAACTAAGGACCCCACCAGGTGTGACAGTACTCTGTTCTAGGGTTCCTTCAGGCTCTGATAGTGTCCTAAGGCCCCTTCCTGCTCTGCCATGCTGGATTCAAATCTCTCACACTGACCCCTAAGACTTTGGGTAAGCTAGTTTATTCCTCCATGTCTCAATTTCCTCATCTGTAAAATGGGAAGCATTGCACTAACTGGTCTCCACAGTCTCTTCCAGCTCCAAATCAACAATACTACATGTCTTTTAAGATCCCTTCTCTTCCCGGAATTCTAGGGTCTGAGATCCCTTCTGGGCCCACATTCTATGCTCCAAGGATTTCTTTAACTTATAGAAAGGCCACTTGTCCCACAGCATCATTTTCTCCCCTTCTGGGCCCTGGTTTTCCCTCAGAGAGTCAGAGACTGTAAGTCTTGCTGGAGTCCCCAGGCCGTCCTCTCCTTCTCCTCTGACTAACTCCTTGTCGTTCTGACTCTCTCCATGGCCAGCTCTGCTCTGCTCGTTCTGAGATCCTCCCTCCCATGCAACCCCCCCTTGCCCCATTTTCAGACTGTCACCAGATCCTGGTGCTTTCTCCTCCCTCCCCAGTCTCAGCTCTGTCTCTCTCCACCCCTGGGACTTACTGGACTCAGCCTGCTCTAGTCCCCTTACCCAAGCCCCCCCCCCTTGTCCCTCACCCTGGCCCCCTGAGAGCCCAGTCATCTCTCCCCTCCTCCCCTTCAGACCAGGCTGCTGTCATCTCTCTCTAGATCCTTTCTCAGAGTCCTCTTCTGAGAAGCTTTCCTCCCTGGAGGAATAGACATCCAGGAAGTCAAGGGTAAACGCAGAATGTTCAGATGTGAAGGGACCTCAGACACTTTGAGGCCAAGCCCTCTCATCTTATGGAGGAAGGAGCAGGCCCAGAGGGAGAGGGGGAAGAGTAGCTCAAGGTCATAGACTTCTTTAGTCACAAAGTCTAGACTAGGACTCAAGGTCTGTCCAGCAAGAGCGAGCTCTGTTCATTCGGCTGAGACAATGGATGGAGGGAGCCTGAGCTGTTTCACAGGGAAGACTGGGGAGCCAGCGGCTCTCTGGCCTCGGACCCGAGCCCTAGTCGGCGGCAGAGCAAATGGAGCCTCTGGGAAGAATCCATTGTAGAGGAGACAGTCAATGAAGAGAGGTGGGGTTGAGGGGAAGAAAAAACAACCTGAGAAAGGGGACGCCTGCAATGGAGTCCCAGGAGTCTGAAAGCGGGGCAGCAGATCCCTGGAGGTCAGAGATTGGAAGGACAGGCTGTTTTCTTCCAGCTACGGCAAAGACCCCTGCCAGACATTCACCCAGCTGGTTCTCCTCCCACCTCCCAGCAGTCTTCGAAGAGAAAAGCTTGGGGCTGTTCCTCCTCTCCATTTAGACAGAGAACTCCCACTCTTTGGGGAATCATGGACTTGGGACTGGAGGGGACCTCAAAAGCTAGAGTCAGACCATTCTCCCTCCCCACCCCGCACCTCCACCACTCCACGTAAGCAGATGAATAGCAGAGACCCAGAGAGAACTGACTCAGCTGAGGTTACCCTGAAAATAAGAAGGCAGGAATCTGAACCCACGCCCTCTTCCTCCAAATCCAGAATGTGCTCTTCCCAGTTCAGTAATCCTCTTTGTGCCCAAGTTCTCCCTAACCACACCCTCCCCCCCAAACACAATGACACCCCTACTCTCTAGGGCACAGAAAGGCTGTGGAAGGGTTCTCTTCTTTTGGCCCTCTCTTGTACATGTGCCGGAGTCAGTGCCTGTTTTGTATTGTGGCTTCTGGAAGAAGAGACCGAGGCATCAGGATTCTCTTTGTACTGAGTACCATGGGCCAGCAGAATGCCATGATGGAGGATGGTGAGGATGGTGGAGATGGTGGGGATGGTGAGGATGGTGAGGATGGTGGAGATGGTGGGGATGGTGGGGATGGTGGAGATGGTGGAGATGGTGGGGATGGTGGAGATGGTGAGGATGGTGGAGATGCTGAAGATGATGAGGATGGTAGGGATGGT